ATATATATATATATATATATATATATATGGGATAATCTAAAGTTCACAACCCTTCAAATTATAAAGGTTAATGATAGAATGAGTTGTAAAGGTGGATTTACTAACTTTGTGGTTAATTTTATAAAAAAAGTTACTTTTTGTGATATCTTCATCATTAAGGGTAGTATTGTAAATATGACTACAAGACAATTGATACTGTTGTCATCTCTATAAGGGGTGATACTGAATTTTTTACTAAAGGATAAGGGCACTCTACAAATAAAGTTCCATGACACTAACTTCCAAATGCCGTTGTATATTTGTGAAAATTTCAAATTTATGTAGTTATTCTAGGCTACTCTGCTGTAATGGTGAATTTAGAATTCGTTACTCCAAGTTTTTTTACCATAAATTACCCTTATGGTTTGAAAATGGTTTTTGATTATAAATTGTTCATGTACTTTATGAAGGCTATTTTTGTCATTTTAAAATTCCTCCAAAAAAACAATTTCAAAATTTTAAAGATTCTTTTGACTTTTTTAATCATGTTAAAATTTGAATGCAATTAAAATTATGAAATACCCCCAAATTTTCAAGCAAGTCATTGCAAACGTAATTTCCAGATTTTTAGGGGAGTTTCATAGTCTGAAGATTCGGAGTAAGAAATCCTAAGTTCACCATTAGTGTGGTGTAGCCTAGAATACCCCATGCGTGCACACACACAGTTGCTTGTGACCAGTTCAGGAGTGTTTCTGTATTTCTGATTTTTATTCTTCATTGACAGCAGTAAAAACAGAAACGGTCACATCCCATACAGAGACTCCAAGTTGACACGCATTTTACAGCCTTCATTAGGAGGCAACTCAAGGACTGCCATCATTTGCACAATGAGTCCTGCGCATAGCCATCTTGAACAGTCAAGGAATACTCTTTTCTTTGCAAACTGTGCAAAAGAGGTGGCCACTAGTGCACAGGTTAATGTGGTTATGTCTGATAAGGCATTGGTAAAGCACTTGCAGAACGAATTAGCTAGATTGGAGAATGAATTGAGGACTCCTGGTCGGCCTTCTTTGACTACAAATTATTCTGAAGCATTGCTAAGGGAGAAAGACAATTTGATTAAAAAGGTTATGATCTATCCTTGCCCATGCAGAGTAGTGCCACACCTGCCCATCATTTCTTCATGGACGTCTATACCAATTTTTATGCATATATTTGAGTTCTCCTGGAGGTTTTTAGCATATAATAGATCCACATGCATGCTCACCAAATTACATGATCCCAATCTCAACGCTCAAAGTTCATGTTCTTTTTTTCTGTTTTGCGCATCTAGATTTGCATGTCTTTATCTGTATAATGTGACTGTTAAATAAATATCAAAGCAGTCTGTTATTTTAAATGCACCTAATCATGTGCATCATGGTATCTATTTTTGTGCGTACTCATGTTCACCCATGCATGTATCCAAGCATCATAAAATTGAGTATGCATGGGATTAATACATATGTGCATGCTTGAGCGTGTGATAGTGTGGTAATGTGTACTCATAACAGTCCTTCCATGCATTTACGCACTCCATGAGCTATGCCTCATGTATGCACAAATCATGTCGGACTAAGGCTATGTAAAATGTGTGGATATTTAGTGCTCTTTGCTTTCTTCAGAGTGCTGACGAATTTCTGAGCATTGATAAGCTCGTCTTTTTCATGCAGATGGAGAAAGAGATAAGAGAACTGAAACAGCAGAGAAATCTTGCTCAATCTCGACTTGAGGATTTGCTTCGGGTTATTGGAAATGATTGTGCTTCAAGGATATGGGTATTGACTGCTTTTCACCATGTATACTTGAGCAGCTTCTGATAGATACTCATGATGATTGTTTTCTTTTACAGGATGAGCTCAGCACACCTCCTATGTCTAATGCACTTTGCGAAGATGAACTGTCAATGAAAGAGTCATCAGGTGCAGATGCGAGCCTCAATTATGGTTTCAAAAGGTTTCATAGGCCTCGTCTCTCAGAAACGAGGGATGATTGTGGCTATGATGAGCCTGACCTAGATCCCCCAGAAATGGTAAATGATTGTGTTCATTATCCAGTTAGTTCTCCGAAGTTCTCAGAATCAGAGCCATATAAAATTCAGGAGACTGAAGATAATGAATCTGATGCACTTTGCAAAGAAGTTCAGTGCGTTCCAATGAAAGAGACTAGCAGAGAAGGTGAAGGACTTGAGCTTGCTGTAATTGAAGAAAATGAAGAGCTGCAAACATTGGAAGTTTGCGAAAATGGCTATGCTACTGACCAGGAACAGATTTACCTACCAGAAGAGAGAGAAATTAGAGATATTGAAGAGACTGATCAAGATGCAAATGCTACTTTAACGGATCAACAACTCCAAACTGTACAACGATCTATTCAAAGTCTTGCAAGACCTTATCTTGAAGAACCATCACCATGGCCCTTAAATGCAATATTAAGCGGCTCCAGAAGCTTGACGTTAACAAGAAGCAGGAGTTGTAGAGCACAACTCATGAGTGGTCCAAATTCTCTATGGCCATGGGATAAGGAACAAAATGAGAATACACCACCAAGCAGGTTTGAGACGGTTTTTCCTGGTAGGCCTGCAAGCATAGGAATGAGACTTCATTCCTTGAATTTTGGTGCTGAGAGTGAAAATATATCAAGAGGAGATTCTCAGGTTTCTGAAAGAAGTTCTTCTGTTGATGTTCAAAAAGCACAAAATATGTTCAAGTCTGCAGCTGAAGAGAACATTACCAGCATCCGTAGTTTTGTTGTGGAGCTTAAGGAGAGGATGGCCAAACTTCAGCATCCAAAGCAACCTATTGGTGGCAAGGTTTGCCTCTGAGCTTGTTCAAATTTTTCTTGTTGAATCAGGCAAATGATTACTTTTTCTTTTTGGTTACCTATAGGCTGAGAAAATTTAGATAGGATGTGATGTTCTATGTCAATAGTCAACTTTGCAAGGTCATTTCTTTGTCTTTTCTTTTTAATTTTCTTCTACCACTCTGCTCTCCCAAATGGGGATTTTCATGTAAACTACTCAACAGACAGATCGAAGAGATCGATGTGCACTGTTAATGCTCTAGGTTCCTCTCATTAGCGTAATTATCCCTAAGTTAGATATATATTAAAAATAACATTGGGCATATATGATATTACCCATATGAAAGAATACAGAGACTATAGAAGTGAAAGTGCATTAAGGAAATTAGAGCTGTTCTAAACCTGCCTTGGAACTTTATCAATCTTCCCGGGAAATCAGAAAGTGACAGGAATTTGAAAATAAGGAACTATTGCAAGAACGATAGAAAAATGAGAACTATGAAACATCTGATTTAACTGGCCATCCTTTTAAATTCAGTCTGATTGGACCTATCTCTACCTTTGTCTTGTTGCAGACACCTGATGCCACAGATGATGAAGAAGCTGAAACCCAAAAGAACATGCAAGATGCATTTACTGAAGCATCCCCAGAGCATACTCAATCTCTCTCAAATTGGCCGTTGGAGTTTGAGAGGCAGCGAAGAGAGATAATTGAGCTTTGGCATACCTGCCATGTCTCACTATTTCATAGAACTTACTTCTTCCTTCTATTCAGAGGTGACCCAGCTGACTCTATTTACATAGAAGTGGAGTTGAGGAGGCTCTCCTTCCTCAAAAACAAGTTTGCGGATAGGAATCCAGGTATACTTATGTTGGAAGATGGTCACTCTATGACCTTGGCTGCGAGGTACTGCTTCATCTTTTTTCTCTTTTTATATTCTGGTCTTGTGTGTTAGTGGAAGACTTAGTTTTATGAAAATACCATGTCTGGAACTTGCTGCGTATAGGAGCAGGGAAATGCTTCCACCAGCCTCTGTTAAGGGAGAGGGAGGATGTGGGGAGCTGCAATGCTAAGGGAGGACTCCTGGTCGGCCTTCTTTGACTACAAATTATTCTGAAGCATTGCTAAGGGAGGTTGCAACCTTAAACTATCCAATTAAGGCGCACCTCCAAATTGTATCATAACATGTAATTTTGGTGAAAAAAATTATTAGGATTATCTCAAAATCTATTTTTATATCTAATTATAAAACTTGAAACTCTAAAAATGGTTAAAACCAAGTAGATCTATAAACATATGAAAATCTTGAAAATGGACAGTCTAGATAATGTATTCCAAGATGCACTATTTTTGGGACTCAAAATCTTTTTTTTTCATATTCAAACATCTCAATGTCGAGATGACCAATTAGAGGTATTTTCAACATTAAAACAACCTTTTCCGATGGATTTTTGAGGTGCATATGTAATTCTACATTTTAAGGTTGCAACCTTATATATATATATATATATATAT